CGGAAGAAGTGCCACCCACTCTTAAATCTTACCCCGCTCAGAAGCAGTGTTCCTTATGTGGCACGATTGTAAGTTTTATATAATGTATCTTTTTCTTTCTTTTAACAAGATATTATATGCATTTGTCTATATCTTGTTAAATATCTTGTTAAAAGATATTGTATATAATAATAGTTAATTGTATATAATATATTTTACAGATAGCTAACGAAGTACATCTTTTGAGTCACTTGAAAGGAAAGGCGCATCTCGAAGCGGTACGAAATGCCCATGATAACCGCGAGCCATCGCGAGACGAACTTCAACGTTTTAATATCGCACAAATACGGGATGTCCCGGTCAATGTGGTCAGTAATAATAACGCGAACAGCAACAAGGCCGCGAGAGAGAAGCAGAAAGCGCTTAAGCGTCGATGTAGGAAGATAAAGCAACGCATGAGCTTACGTGGGCAAGAATGGGAGGATAAATGTAAAAATGAAAGTAATCAGAATTTATCCGTCGAATCGGCCAATAAAGTCAAATTTCGACGCAATTTAAAAGAGTTAGATAGATTGTATAATAATCATTCCAAATCTGCATGGTCAACTATAGCACTCGCTGCCTTGGAGCGTTGCTTGGGTGAAATTGTTCGAGCCTTCTCCAAATCCGTAAGTTCTACAGAGAAGAGATTATGTTTTTCTCGAGATTATTCTGCATCATTTTATATTCTATTTATCTTGTTATTATTGTATTCTGTTTCAGTGTCCATTTGATCAAGATGCGTTCAGATGCTTGAATGGATTTGATACCTTAACGAACTTATTGAACCTAGGCTTAAATACACAAAATACATCATATAATTTACCAAATAAGTAAGTAATGATTCCACAAATGTAATAGAATCTATTCAATCAATATTACAAGACATTTTCTGTTTGTATTAAAAATTTTAGAGCACTTATATCACTGTGTCGAGTCTACAAAGCGACCATCAATGAAAACATCGAGAATATAAAAGCCATTCTATTAAGCAACAAAATTCTCGTTATTTTGGATCTACTTTTACAACGTCTAGAGGTAAGTTTACATTAATTCTATCTCTGATAGCGTTAATTCTTCCGTGTGATTGATTTCATAGGATATAATGAATTATAATATGAAAAATTTCAAGATTGGTATAGTGATTTATTTTGATCCAACAATATATATATATATATATATATATATATATATATATATATATATATATATATATATATATATATATATATATATATATATATATATATATATATATATATATATATATATATATATATATATATATATATATATATATATATATATATATATATATATATATATATATATATATATATATATTGTTGGATCAAAATAAATCACTATACCAATCTTGAAATTTTTCATATTATAATTCATTATATCCTATGAAATCAATCACACGGAAGAATTAACGCTATCAGAGATAGAATTAATGTAAACTTACCTCTAGACGTTGTAAAAGTAGATCCAAAATAACGAGAATTTTGTTGCTTAATAGAATGGCTTTTATATTCTCGATGTTTTCATTGATGGTCGCTTTGTAGACTCGACACAGTGATATAAGTGCTCTAAAATTTTTAATACAAACAGAAAATGTCTTGTAATATTGATTGAATAGATTCTATTACATTTGTGGAATCATTACTTACTTATTTGGTAAATTATATGATGTATTTTGTGTATTTAAGCCTAGGTTCAATAAGTTCGTTAAGGTATCAAATCCATTCAAGCATCTGAACGCATCTTGATCAAATGGACACTGAAACAGAATACAATAATAACAAGATAAATAGAATATAAAATGATGCAGAATAATCTCGAGAAAAACATAATCTCTTCTCTGTAGAACTTACGGATTTGGAGAAGGCTCGAACAATTTCACCCAAGCAACGCTCCAAGGCAGCGAGTGCTATAGTTGACCATGCAGATTTGGAATGATTATTATACAATCTATCTAACTCTTTTAAATTGCGTCGAAATTTGACTTTATTGGCCGATTCGACGGATAAATTCTGATTACTTTCATTTTTACATTTATCCTCCCATTCTTGCCCACGTAAGCTCATGCGTTGCTTTATCTTCCTACATCGACGCTTAAGCGCTTTCTGCTTCTCTCTCGCGGCCTTGTTGCTGTTCGCGTTATTATTACTGACCACATTGACCGGGACATCCCGTATTTGTGCGATATTAAAACGTTGAAGTTCGTCTCGCGATGGCTCGCGGTTATCATGGGCATTTCGTACCGCTTCGAGATGCGCCTTTCCTTTCAAGTGACTCAAAAGATGTACTTCGTTAGCTATCTGTAAAATATATTATATACAATTAACTATTATTATATACAATATCTTTTAACAAGATATTTAACAAGATATAGACAAATGCATATAATATCTTGTTAAAAGAAAGAAAAAGATACATTATATAAAACTTACAATCGTGCCACATAAGGAACACTGGATCTTAAGATTGAAGATTCAACAGCACGTTGCCGAATGTGCTCAATATTCTCCACGTGCCGTCTAGCGGATTCTTGCTGTTTCTGCGCTATTTTCTTCTGCAGCTCTTCTTGATTAGCTAATTGAGCCGCGTGAAGTGCCGATAAGCGTTCTTCACGATCTCGTGCCTTTTCCCTCGCTAATTCCTAAAGAGTTAAAATCAAGATTAGAGAGTCATTAGATGAAAAAAATTGTGTGACAGTGCGTAAGCATAATAATAATCCATTTACCTGCCGTTCTTTTTCTCTTTCAAGCTGCATTTTACCAACTCTCTCCTCGCGTTCTCGTCGCGCTTGTTTCATTTTTTGTATCCTTAGCTGCCGTTCCGCTTCTAAAGCTCTTCGACGTTCTTCGGCTGCGGCTTCTTTAGCAGCTTTTTCCTCCTGTCGACGTTGACGTTCCTCTTGAATCCCCTATATAACACAAGTCGCAGTTATGTAAAAAAGAGTGCTATTAATATAATATATATATTTAATATATCAATGCAATATATTAATATGTTACATATAATATTTGTATTATATATATATCTTATATATATTCACAGAAAATGCCCAAAAAATCATTGAAAATTTGTGTGTTATCTTTTTGTCTGGAAATATATACCTGCAATCTTTCTTCCTGCTCTTGACACAATGCCATAAAATCATGCCTCTTATTTTGCGCCTCAAGTTCATTGATAAAAGCTATTTCCTTCAATTTCGAGTCCTCATCGTGTGCCTTCCTCACTATTTCTAACAAATGTTGCGTTCTATTTTCCTCCGCCCTTTTAAGTCTCATTTCCATCCTGATCCGTTTGTCTTCTATTAATTGATTTTTTGCGCTTTTGACGTCTTCCACTTTGTTCAATAACTCTCGCAATCGTTGCGATTTCTCCATTAATAGCTTTTGACGTTTGTCTTGCGCGCAAGCTTGTTTTGCTTGATATCTTCTTAACGTTTCGGGGAGCGATCTTTTCCGCGACGGAGACGAAAGCTTCTGATGCAATTCTAAAGCACGCCCCGGATGGCGAGCTACTAATGCACGCAATTGTGCGAGAGTATCAACCCGTTCCGCCCAAGACATTCCCTCCAACATATTTTCGTATCTATAATATCAATTTTATTAACAAATGTGACACACAATTATATCAAGACATTATATCAATATGCATAATAAGTATGTACCTATCCTCTAAACTAATATCATCAGTGACGCTACTAAGCGACACTATAGGCTCATCTTCCATTTCAAGAACCATTTCACCATCTGTCTCGTCCGTTTCCGTGTCAATGTCAATCTCGGTAGATTCTAATTCCATAATTTGCCGTTTCAAGGATGCCTCTTCGTCCGATAGCTGCTGAGATCTTTGAGAATCTGCTTCTTCTGTCTTCCTCTCTTCTTCTAAAATAATTCTTTCTCTTTCTGCCTGAGCAGCCATGAACTGTTGTATGCGTTTCTCGAGTAACTCGGCATCGTTCTTAAAGATAGCTGCAATCACTGACGTTGAATTGTCACACAAATTTAAAGTATTCTTCTTCAGCGTATCTTCGAGATCACTTTTAATCGTAGATGTCATGAATTCTCCTTTCACTTTTTTAACTTCATTATTCATGTTCTTGCCAGTTTTTCCTACAATGCATTTTTTCTTTTGCTTGTTGTTCCCATCGGGAGTGTAACTAGTCTTCTTTATCTTCTCTGATGGACTTTCTATTGACAAAGCTGGTAAGGATAGAGCAGTGCTTGGTTTATGAAAGCGTGTAGACATGTTCAGGTTATGAGTACTCCCTCTTCTACAACGGTTCCTAACTGTTTGCCAGCCATCACTTTCATCCTTTGTCTTTGGAGGTGCTGTTTGTTTCGTTAAAACTTCTACTGATCCATTCATTTCTCTATTTTGATCTTTCTTTAAGGTATTTTGTTCAGATGACTGAAAAAATGTATTATTTTAAATTAATTTAGACTAAAATATATGTACAATTTGTGGTCAAAATGTAAATGTTATACAATATTGATAAAGATCTTACCATATATGTATACGTAAATACATTATTAAGGAATTAAAGAATAAATTAAAAAGTCTTGTAAGATAATCGATGAAAAGTATATACATATATATATAATTTTATATTTGTATTAATTTGTTATTAGAATGTGTGAAATATATAACAAGCACATTATACATTCATAAAATAAAAACTATTCTTTAAAATATAATAGGGAAATACCTTATTTTCAGGAGTTTGAAATCGTCCTCTCACAATAACAGATGTTCCAGGCCTTCTTTTATTCGAAGTAGGTAAATTCTTGTCACTTAAACAAGTCTTACTTCTAATAAACTTTGGAGTTTCGCTTGAAGTTGATGATTGTACTTTAGATTTGGTTTGCGACACAGTTGAGTAAGCAGGTCTATTTGCATTGATTAATACAGAGCCAATTGATGTGTTTCGAATATCCTTATTATTCGATTTATCAGCAATTTCATGGGGATGTTTATTTATTTGATGATTAACTTGATTAATTTTTTCTGAAGTATTTTGAGCTATGGGTGTTTTCATATTTATTCTTTCAGTATTAATATAGTTGTTTTCACGTTTTTTAATACTATCCTTCTTAACTTTGGCATTAATTTCATGCTTTCCCAATCCAATGTTACTTTTATTACACGATAATTTGCTATCTGCGTTTTTCCCATCTGTCTTACTGTCTCTAATATTCACACCATTACTTTCTTTTTGCATAACTTCACAGTTACTACATGAAATCAGCTGAACATCCTTATCACTTTTACATGGTTCTCGTTTTTCTGCAGATAAATTAGAATCAGTTAGCTTTACAATGTTACTGTGCAAACAGTCCTTTGTTTGTTTAGAAACATTTTTAACATCGATCTTATTTCTAAAATCGCACGTCACACCTTCATTTAACGTCTTGCGATCCGCAAAACTATTGGCTTTTGATTGTATTGGCACAGGTTGTTTCACAAATACTTTAAGTGCTTTTGTCGATGCGGATTTTTCTTTATTCGTTGTTTGATTCCCAATCTTATCTACTCCATTTTTGCGTTTTTCTTTAATATCAGAGGAACAATTTTTGCAAACATTGTTTTTATTATCTTTCAATAATTTATGAACAAATTCTTCTTTTACATGATTAACTTTATTGTCCGTTACAATAGTAATTTTATTTTCACATATGGTTTGATCGATTGGACTCTTGCAAGAAAATTCTGTTGGACTTATTCTTTGCAAGGGACTAGTACATTTTGGAACTATTGTAGAATTCCATATACGGCAAGGAGAAGTTTTTCTAACTTCCCAAGCCAAAGGAGTTCGTCTTAACGGTGGTGACGAATTTTCATAAGCCCACTTAACTTTGAACCATTCTATCAAGTTATGAAAGTCTCTGGTATAATTTTCTAGCACTAGAATAACTTCTTTACATTCAGAAATATTTTCATCTTCTTCGCACGTTTGATAAATACCATCAACTGCTCTTTGTAAATTTCCAAATAGAAATGCCCAATATCGTGCCTGTAATTCTATACAAACAGTACACATTATTAAGAGTTGAATAATTTATGCTCTTATAAAAAACATTTTAGCATAATTGCAAACAATATAACCATTAAAAATGTTTGATATAAAAACCTGTCAATCTTTCTTAATGAGTTATTTAAGTTATTCTAATTTAAGGAAACTATGCAAATGAAAAGAAATTGTCTATTATTAAAATTAAGTGTGTTTGAATGTTATTCTATATATCAAAATATATATTAATCTTTTAAAATATCTTCACAGAGTGCTTCTAAATGTTATTTCCTTCTTTTCTAACAAAAGAAAAGGCTGTCTTACCAGATTTCTTATCACGACCTGTAGAAGCAGATCTCACTCTTGTAGCTGGTTTCATGGATCGCTTTGTTGTACCTGACTGAATCTGTCTTGGCACACTGGGTGGCTTTTTTGTAATTTTCTCTATATTATTCGTACCAACAGGTACATTAAAAGCTACCAAGTTTCTGGCTGCACGACCTTCTTCCTGGATGAGTAACCTGACGTCTGCCATTTTATAGATATCTAAAATGATAAAAAAGGCAGAATTTAAAAAATGAAAAATACTATTTATCAAAAATAAACTTATTAAAATGTAAGAAATAAAATATGTTGTGAAACATATTAAAAAAGAAAGAACTCGATAAACATATACAATATACAGAATAGCTCAACAGCCAATTGTATTTAAATGAACACATGCTAAAACAGGATTATCATCATGCATTAGCATCGTAATGACATGACCTACAGTAATGTCATTTCGTGTTGATCGGCTCTTAACTAGGTTATATTGTTGTAATTAAATATATATATGCTTTAAGTAAACAAGATGTATAATCGTTAGATGACGACACGTCGACAAGATATATTTCATAAACCAATATTTATAGTTTCCCACGCTATCTTCTCTAACGAATGACACTTATCAACTACTCGCTACTGTGCTTGTCAAACATACAACTTATAGTTACATTTACATGCGTATTACACGCGACTTACCCGTATTATATACACACATACATATATTTGTGATTTTTACCTGATATTTATGAGAAATCGCAGAACGACGATCGCCCGTTCCTCGCACGATTATGTTTCGTAAATGACATCTGAGGAATAATACATAACATTTTACGCGTAATTATACATCAGACAGGGATAAACACAAGTTTTCTGGCTCTTTGTTGGTTATATTAAGAGAGAAGCCTGAAATCTGAGACCTATTTGATTGGCTGCATTGAAAACTACTGTTATTTACTTCAGATTGGATTTTTCGCGCATACGCGATACGCGATGAATGCTAGAGAGAGAGAGAAGGAGAAGGCGTGGGTGGTGGGTGCAGTGCAGTATACATGTGTACAATTACATGAATGAGTCTTCTAATAATTAGAAATAATAAAATCATGAAAAAATTGTACTATAAATTTTAATGATTTTTTTTTTTTATTTGAGATCGAAGGCTTTTACGATTAATAAATCTGTATTTTCTTCTCCTTGATTTTATGTCACGTTTCGTAAGATCTCTTGCGATATAATGTATATATTCGAATATCATACGTGATATATTTAAATAATAATGATGGAAATAAATAACATGGATGAGGAAGACGAAAATGTCGTGATACAAGTATGATGATTTCACGAAAATTTGTATCTTTAAAGAAACTATATTGCCTTTATAAACAAAATAATGAGGTTATATTTACATACACATTCTTCACTATCTTTTTTGTGAAATTAAAATCAAAAATATTGAAAATAAATTAATGCATACATTATGTCATTTATTTTTTCTAGTCTGACAATATGGTTTTTTAATTGATTTAAATATACAATATTTAAATTTTTGTGTTCTACAAATTCAAATTGCAAAGATAATCATTTAATTAAGACTAAGAATTGAACAAGAAATAATATGTGTCAAAAAACTTAATATCTATTTATTTTACAGGGTAGCGCTCTTCATGAACATTTGTCAAACTTGGGTTACACGGACTTTGAAAGTGTATCTATGTCCAAGACAATATTTTTGGAAGAGAAGCAATATTTAAATATTGTAATTTTTATATTTTATCTGTAATGCATGGGTTCATACTCTTGATAAAATATTCTTTACATTAGTGCTAAAAATATATAATTTTGATTTTTCCAGAATATTAGAAGTACTATACAGAAGATTTATGAACAATTATTTTCTTTTTATTCCTGGGTAACACAGGTATTGTTTTCTTTAATAGCAATCAACTAGCATAATTGTATAATTTGCATTCTATTTAATTGTATTGCGCAATTTATTTTTTGCAGGAAAAAAGCATTTCTGAAAAGCAATTGAATGCCATTTTGAATGCACAAGCTTTGTTGAACGATCATCTTTTTGTGATTAATAATTTCGTAAGCAAGTGCAATGACAATTCTAAAAAGTAATTATTGCCTTTTGTATAAAATATCTTTGTGTCTATTTATAAATAACATTGTTTTATTTTTATTTGTATAAAATTTATGTGCAATAAAATAGATTAAATAGATTAAACCATCTTGCATACAAACAATTAAAACTCTAGAATTATATAATGATGGAATTATTGCTTGCAGAATAAGGCTGCAGGAATTAATTATAACTGGAGTAGTATTAATCTCTTCAACATGTATTTCGTTGTGTAAATGTAAAGTGTTACCAATATTATTTGCATCATCTGCAATATGTTACGCCGGTTATATAAAATACTCACGTTCTTGTGTAAATAGAGATTTAAAAAACGTTATATCATTACAAAATGAACTTCTTGCTATGTGTAAAGAAAGTCTTAAGATTTTGCGACGTAATTGTAAAACAAAATTAAATTTTGACACAAGTTTTCAACAATTTTCGTAAGTATTCACGCAAACTCGTCAAATTGTTTAAAAATATTAATATTTCAAATACACAAATATTTAAATCAAGAGAAAATTATTGTTATTTTCTTTTTCTTTGTTTCTACTAGTCATTTCATGGAAAAAAAGGTGCAATATCTGCAATCTCTAACAAAGACTTTAGTCGAATTTATGGGAAATATTACATGCATCTATTACCAATGCTCCCTATTGATTGCAAAATTATTGCCACCAGATGTATGTAACGAAGAATTGTTTACAAAATTCGAGTGTAATTCGTTTGAAATATCTGGCGAAATCGACTATCAAGCATTAAAGGTAAATAGCACGACAATGATTTATATATATATATATATTTCTTTATGATAAATTCTCTTCTTGTATCATATATTTTTATATCTTTTTTATTTGCAGAAATTGTATCACACCTATCTTCTGGTACAATCAGAAATGTTGTATTTATTAGCTATTGCGTATGACAGCAATACTTGGATACATCGTTGTCAAATGATTCCTGAAACGAAATTAGCTCATATAATTCACATCTTGATTAAAGAATTGACAGTACATAAAATCAAATTGTCGGAAATTATTAATGCTTATCATAGTTGTAAAATAGAACCAGTACGACATAAGTAAGTTGAAATGCATGCTTATGTTTATATTTACTACGAACAACAACTACGAATAACACATCATGTTAGACTTTTTATTAGGGCACAGAGGACCAAATGGCAAGATCCGACTGTTCAATTGGATTTGGCATCGTACAAACTACAGTTAGCCTATAATCAAATGTTTTCAATATTTAAAGATATTGATGACTGCATTAATCAGGAAATTGGCATTGATAGTGAAACAACTGAGATACTGATGCAAAAGTTGGATAGAGCATTCAAAGAGATTGGTATAGCTAAGAGTCTGACGGAATTTGTTGTTTTACTAATGGCAAGATCGGGATTCCATAAACCAAGGGACGCTCAGTCTGTAACTAATGATACTATGATAAATCAGAATCCCAGTTTGCCTGTAATAATGGATTCAGATCCAGAGATTCTCGATGAAGTATTCGAGGAATATATAAAAGATGACTATCCAGAACCTTTACACGAAGAAACAGATGAGTATTTGTTGGAACAGCGAAAACTGGATAAACTTTTGGTAAAGAATTTTATGAGCGAACTGAAAGAAGCTCTAGTTGATAAACATAAATCTATGTCTGAACGAGAATCGAAGGCCCTACAACGTATATACAAAAATATATCAAAAAATTCTATATCGAATACTGAAGACAATAAGGACTGTCGATTTATACCTATTCCACCACCGATGCCTGCTTACTACATATGGTCAAGTCCATTAAGCGACATTAATTTGAGACATAAAAAAATAATTTCTTCCACTTGTAAGGTTAAAAATGATGATTTATCTATTCAAGAAGAGATTGACGATTTGGATGAAAATAACGATTCAGCAAAAATATTAAAATACAAGAATATTTTTAATATGCCATCCATGGAAGCCTGCAAAACAGAAAATGGGGAATCTCTTACATATTTACCCCAGATTCTGCTTCAAACACAAGCTATGCAATTTACTACAAAACTACGACCCACTTTTCTCCAGGAAGAGACATTTATAGGAAGTGGTGAAAATTCCGAGGATGAAATAGATAATTCAAGTGATAACGCAAGTAATAATAATGGAGAGAATGAAAATTCTTGATAATAACTTGAGAGCTTCTCGAAATTCTTTTTCCAAAGTCACTGCTAATTATTTCTCCTGATTCATAACTTTCACTACCAACGAGAGGAATTCCTGAAAGTCGAGCTGTCCAGATGCTGTAAGAAAAGAATTGCATAAGAAAAAGATCGCGAATTTAACAAGTTATAATTTATATCTCTTGAAATTTTAATACAAAAATTTTAAATAGTACATTGCATATTTTACATTATATAAAATTGAAAGCTAAAAATTGGAAATTGAAAGTTCAAATGTAATTTATCCTATAAAATTACGTCAATCAGGCAAATATGTGATTGTCAGATGCACATTATATGTACACATATGTGTATGTATGTTGTGCGGCGCGTGTGCGTGTACACATTTCAAATAAAATATAAATTTAAAAAGATTTACCTTACATAATTATCCCAGAAACGATCTAAATAAAAAACACGAATGGATTAATTAAGTTTCAGCGTTTTTTTTTGCCTCTTTTCGCTTTCTATTTCAAACAGACTATATACAATTTTTTTTATTTTTTCACATATGAAAAGTGCTGATAAAAACAAAAACACTAATTCGGTACTTCATCGATGATGGCCAGTAACTTTAACTTTAGCATGTATGTAAACAAGAATATCTTTACGAAAATTTATTAGATTGCGTTTGAAAATCTACTTGTTGGATAAAGGGTGCGTTCAGGAGACAACCGTTCGAACGTGATTGGTTCTTACTTCTAGAACCAACAAATCAACGTCGAATGTTGACAAGACGACGTTCAACGGTGTGTCTCCTGAACGCACCTATTGTAAGGTTGTATGAGCAATCAAGACAAAGAAATCTGTCTGATTGATCCTGCTCCTGGATTGGTCAACTAAACGTTATTCTTCTCCGACGAACAGATTTTCGAACGCAATCGTAAACTTTGGACTACAGGACACATGTCACCTTTCGGGATTACATACATAGTTCATGTTCGTGGCTCGCAATAGTCAGTGGCAGTGGCACTAGTGGTGAACGTGTATCCGCTGGTAGCCGCTTGACAGTTGATTCTGGAGCGGGGAGATCAGTCGATCTCCTGTAGTCGATTAACACGCTCTTCTCGAGACCAATCTTGGTCAAGTAGTTCACCGACACGTAATAGTACCCGACCCGGCATGGGCGATTCCTTGGATGGTTCCGGGGAACCGTCCCCGGAGTCGCAGAACGTCGCGATCGTCGAGTTACCGACGTTCGCCAACTATCTGCGCAAGGCCGTCACCGTGCTGCTACCAGACGAGGATGCGGTACCACCCGCGTTTAATCTGGCGCTCGACGAGCGCTATAATCAGGACTGTATACGCAAGTTTCTCGGCGACTCGCAAGTCAGCTCGCTCTACATACAGAGGAGCTCGACCAAAGGTGAGCGCTTTCGATCGATGCGTCGTCTTTCGTTCCTCGTCGTCTTCGGCGAGGACGTTCCCGATGCGCGAGATCCTCCATTGCTGTCGGAGCAACGGTACATTCAATGTGAGAAGAAACGCGTCCTGAAAATCAATCGCGAATATTCACACGCCTTATTGTTAGATGATCTCGCTCCTGCAGGATGACTCACTCGCTCGCCGGCGAGATCGATATATATGACAACGCATTAATTAATATCGACTGAGCGTTCGTTTCTCAATTTATTTTCATCCGATTTTTCGGATCGAATTCCTCTCGCGCCGCACGGAGTTTGATAACGAATTCGAGGAATCTCTCTTGTCTATATTTATATGTCTGAATAATCGAACGACATCCAAATGTCTTACTTTAACAATTAATTTCCTTTTAATATAAATATAATTATATTTTATAGAATGGATAAGATACACTATATAATATATATAATTAAGGTTTTTTTTTATGTAT